CAAAAGCTAAAGCGGGCCAACTTTAAAAATAGTGGCCAGCATTAGATTAGTGTAACATTATGTAAGTTACGTAAGTTACGTAAGTTAAAATCTAACTTACGTAAGTTAGGATAACTTACCTGTTACTGTAAATTACCCAACCCTATATAAAACGAGCATGGTTGTGTGAGTAAACCGCCGGTTTAGCCAATTAAAATTCTTTATTCTTTACGGTAACTTACCTGGTCATTTAGAGTAACTTACCAAGAAATTTATAAATTACGGCAATTTTACAACCCTGGGCTCGCCGGGCCAAACCAATCTTAATACCGGGCCAACTAATCCTTAATGGAATTAGGAATTAGTTGGGCCGGGTAACTTCTATGATCTTATGCCCTGGCGTTGTTAACAATGATCTCAAGCGATGTAATATAAGATTCCATTTTGCGTTTGAATTGCTTCAAGTCACACATTACCAAGAAATCAGTAATATTCCATCTCGATGATGGTCTCTCGAAATATTGTGTATCTGTTTTAGGACAAATGGGCTGCCGTCAATAGAAATCAAGCAGATCTACATTTGAAAAAAAAATTAATACCTTAGCTTTCACAGCTTATATCTCGATGAATTTTAAAACTATCTTTATTGTCTAGTATTCAAAAGAAAGCTTAGATCGTACGCTTTCTTTTGAATATTAATATATCAAGATAGCTTTAAAATTCATCGAGATATAAGCTTTGAAAGTTAAGGTATTGGTTTTTTTTTTCAAGTGTAGATTTGCTTGATTTCTATTGACGGCAGCCCAAATGTCAAAGGTAATGACATATAAATATAGAAAGTCTACTCATACTACTTTAGGTTAAGATATGGGCTTGAATTAATATTTTATTGGCTTCACGAACAACAGACAACAAGACAATTCGCGTTGATTCCCACATGCAGATTTCATCTATTTGCTAAACAACACTAGATCAATGGAAACTATTAAAAAGTCTAAAAAATTAAGTTTTTATAAGTTAATAAAATTCTCTTATACTAAGTTAAAGGTGTAAACTCTTGAGATACTTTTTTGTATAACGAATTTGCTTTTTAATAATGTAACATTTCACTAATAAAAAAAATCATGTAAAGGTCATTTCTAGATTTGAAAAATATTTACTGTATATTTTTGCAAAAAAGTAACGAAGAAGCAAATGTTTTACGATATCGACTGATTTTTGGAATTGTACTAAAATAGATGTAATTTGACATTTTGAATAACTTTTTATGTACTGAACTATTTTTGATAAAACAACTACCAAAATGTTCGTCTTGATGAGACGATTCTAACATCGTCAAAATCCAATCATTGGGTCACTAGATAATTAAGGTTTTTTGCCGAGGTGACGCATCTGTATAGAGTGGAAAGATTGGTTAGACCATACTAACCAATCTGCTCACCCTACAGATGCGTCACCTCTGCAAAAAAAAACCTAATTATCTAGTGACCCAATGATTGGATTTTGATAATATCGGGCTTGTTAGAATCTCTCATCAAGACGAACATTTTGGTAGTTGTTTTATCAAAAATAAATCAGTACATAAAGATTGAAAAAATGTCAAATTACATCTATTTTAGTACAATTGCCGATATGAATACTTTACTGTTTTAGACTTATACAGTACAAGCAATACACGTGTATAACGATAAGGTTTAAATGCTGAAAATAGTCAATTAAAAATATTGATATTACGAGCAAGTTTTAATCTTGAAATATTATGTATATTTCATTTATTATTATTATTATTATTGTTAATTAGTTTGCTACTTACAATTATGCCGAGAATTAACACTAGTATCAATTACCGGTATTATCGATACGCGAATATATAATAATAATCGATAAACACAGTATGTATGTTTCATAAATAATTATATTTACTAAGAGCCATGATGCATCTCTAGTAGAGAAGTTAAGTCTAGTCTAAAAGTTTGGTCCAGAACTAGTTAAGAACGGATAGCCTAATACGAAACCAGTCTAGCCCTTGCAGTTTAATACTTTGTTTAATAATGATGCTTATATCAACATAAAATTAGCCAATTAGACAATCTTGAAATCACAAGACTGTGGGACTAGTTTCAGACTAGGTTTGAACTAGTCTCTAAAAAGTTCACATTTTCTATAGTAAAGGCTGTAAATGCTGTGATAAAGATTTTGTCAATAATCTTAATTGGAAGCACAAAAAAGATTTATTTAATAAAAATTATAATTTTGCAGAGACATACAGTATTGATTTGAATTGACAAGTTATTTATTTATTGTATTACGGTAGTATTAATGCACTTAAAAGACAGTTTATTTAAATCTTATCGTTATAATAATTTCTTGCTAAATTATTGCGATTGGAATATTGTCACTATAGTAATAGTTATACTATTAGCTGATCATTCACGTTATTAATTTACCCCACCACTTCTAATTGGCTGTACTAATTATTCACTTAGCGGAGTATTTATTTTATTAATCAATTTTTTTTCTATTCCGTTTAGGGTTGTTAATGGAGTAGCATACTCCAGAGTGAACCCAACCCAAGTTGAAGTGGGTTTAGAACTAGTTCAACCCAACCCAACCCATTAACAACCCTACACCCGTTATTATCATAGCAGTTAGGGATCGTCACTTGTGACCAATAGAAACTTTGATGTAAGTTCATTGAATTCTAGTCACGTGATAAACCACTGAACAGATTATATTTTTTCGTAAAAAGTTTCATTTTTAGTTCAAGAAAATATTTTCATTATAAAATATGGAATTTTGTGCATATTACCGGTAACTTCAGAACTTGTGTTAATAATAATAGCGAATAGGTACAGTAGCAGATAAGTACGTATATAGTACGTATTGTACGTATCTTATCAGTTATCTGTTGATCGAACATCTATGATTTACATAAAAATTTATCAGAGCCACATATAGATTTAATATTAAACAAAATTGTTAAGAATATTATCGTTATGCTAAAAAAACGAATTAACTTAAATATGTACATCAACATCAAGTTCTAAGATGTCATAATTTCACCAAGATACTTAATACGTACATACCGGATACTTGCGTGTTTTTGGCTGATCCCACGTAGAAAGTATAGAAAATGCATTTACTAATTTTACTTTTAAAGGGCGTAAATCCAACTGGATCTATATCCCTTCGCAAAATTAGTAATGTGTAAGAATAATAACCTCTACTTAATATGGCAAGAGGATTCTTTTCAGATATTTAATATGAGTAAATAATTTGTGAAATGATTACGTGCATTTGTGTTAATTAAAGGGGAAGCAGGTACGTACGTACGTACGCCGGTTTTATATTTATCACGTAGCATAATTTTTAGCATTTTTTACACAAGTTTCGTTTATTTAGAGTTGAATTGTACTGCGGTTGGAAAAAGTTTTAACGTTAATGTTTGTGAACCACATATATATATTGTGACAATTATTAATATTGCAGTGTAACTTCACATATTCAAAAATAAGCGTTCTTTATCTCTATATTAGCTTCAAAATTAACTACGAGCTGGAATCGACTGTACTGTCTAGGCGTGTTCTTTCCTTGCTTTATTACGTCTATATGCTTCGCGATAAATTAGATATCACGACACGGTATGATTTAATTTTTGTGTATCTGTTCTGCTGTATTAACCCTCCCTGAAAAGTCTTTTTACCTTTCTTTCTTTTCGAACCTTTTCGAACCTTTTCGAACCCCCATTCAGCTAGCTGCGCACTAAGTTACAATGTCAAAATCTTCCCTTTCTGCACCAGCTACTTCTATTTTCACAACTGACGGCGAATTCGAGTTCAACGTTAATAGTCTGAACTTTGAAAACTATCTTTCATCGCCTACAAGCGAAGAAGCCGAACCAAAATCTTCCTCTGAGGCTACTCAAAATTCTCCTCGAAACTCCCCTTTACAAGATTCTCCGACAAATATTTCTCCAAACCAGCCTCCAAGGAATTCGAAACAAAATTTTTTTTCTTTATTTAAAAAAAGAGATAGTTCAAACACTATAAATACCAGTCCTATAACCCGCCCCATCTCTGCACCACCCCAACATCTACTGGTTAATACAAATATGCTCGAGCATGATAACAATTTGGTTACTGCAGGAAAAACTGTACAAAATATCTGTGATTTAGAGACTGATCAATATATAATTGGTAGCGTTAGTGTACCGGACCTCCCTGCATTGGATACTAATGCGTTAGATGATGAGTACAATGCAATGATTAAGCTGCATGCCAGTGATATAGGAAACCATGCTTCTGATGGAACATATGGCTTGGGTAATGACTTTTCCGGAGGAAAACCTTCAAGCATTTCCTCTAAAAAACACAGTAAAAGAAAAAACAGTATAACTTCTGAAAAAATGAATAAGGAAGATACTGGATTTAGGGTAATCATTCATTTATTTATTTATTTTTTTACATGTAAACTTTAAATATTTTTATTTGCATAGGTCTATTTTTATCAATCCAAGATAAAAAGAAATTTAAAATTTTTGGTTTTAAATATTAATAACAAAGTTTTCCTAAATTTATTTTCGGAAAAAAACTTGGAATAAAAATAGCTACCCAAAATTAAAGTCCCTGCATGTCATTATACCCATATTTTACTTTGCTTTATTTAAAATAGTTTGCCTATTTTTTACTTTTAATAGAATACGATGAAAAATACTATGCGTAAAACTTCTACATTTTTCAAAAAACTTGGTAGCAAGGTAAATCCACAAAAAAATTATTATTATTATTATTATTATTTTTTTTAAAAAAAAAACTTTTATTTAACTTACTTTTTTCTTTATTATTTATATTATTATTTTAATTTAAATTTAAGCAGACTTTAGATAATTCAACTAATCAAAGTGAACGTCCTCCACTTCCTGATTTTCAAACTCAAAACTCTCAAATTAAATCTTTTGAAACATATTCTTCCACTTTAAATGTTAAAAAAGATTCTTTAAATTTGGAACCTACTACAACCATTGATGATAGTTTTTCGGATAATAGTGCAAGTATTGATGAAAAAGAATTACTTAAACGTACTTTACAAGAATATTCTTCTGTATATGTTGATTACCCATTAGATGATGATAATGATCGAAAATCTGGTTTGTACCGAATGTCCTTATTAGGTGCAAATAAAAGTGTTCCTGATAATATTGGTAGAACTTATGATTGGAATGCTCGATTTTCAAGTTCAAGTGATAATACTGAAAGTATACCAGTAAATACGAATTATGCTACAAATTTTTTTGATAATAAAAGAGTAAGCGGAAATACTTTTATGAGTTTACCAGTAATAAAAAGTGAAAAAAGAAAAGTAGAATCAAAAATGGTATTAGATGATATAAAAACATTTAGTTTATCAAGAGTTAAAGAAGAAGATGGTGAAGATGGTGATACTGCTGTCCAAAAAATCTCAACTAAAGGTTTAAAGACAATCATGAAAGGAAACACAAAAAATTCAAGTAAGCAATATGACGTAAAAAGAGATGTTGTAGATTTACTGCTATGAAAGGATTTTTTGCTGCTTTTACGACTAGGAGATGATTCGTCAGTACTTCTTGATGATCTTTGTACACTTTCATTATTCACTAAATAAAAAATTACACAAGTTTCAGTTTTTTATTTCCTGTAATATCAAAATAAAAAAAAGACATCCTATATTTTTTTTTAAAAAAAAATTAACACGTGCAT